CCTTAGTTCATGCCAAAATATATCCACCTTATCAGACAAGAATTTTCGGAGAGAGGAGACTTCATCTTCCACCAACATCCCGGTATGCCCGGATTGTCGATTATTCTCTCTCTCAAGCCTTTTGATGAAAAGAGCTGACGCAAAATGAACAATAATTGATGGATCAGGATCTCCAAGGACTGCCTGAAGCTCTCTTCTAATCCATGGCTCAATTCTTTCAGTTATCTTTGCTTTGGTGTGATCATTCACCGCCAAACTCTACAATAATCAAGATGACACAACGAGTCAGGTATATATAAAGCTTCCAATGTGCATATATATCCAATAATCTAAGAGTGAAACTCCAATACTACAAACATAAAACATAGAATAACACATTGTATAATGAAACTTACTAGTTCCAAGCTTCGCCTCGAATGTAATCGAACAGCTCGTAATTGCTTATCGTATATGCTGCATTTAGAGCCAACACTAGTTAGAAACAATGGAGAACTAATCTAACACTTCGAAAAAGGAGATTGAAACTGAATCTATAGAGTTAGAAACAATAGTAAACCAACCTAGCTCGCCACTGAAGCTTTCGCTGGAAGATGATAGAATCAGGAACTGAACCAGGCCGTCCAAATGATCTCCGCCATGGCAATGGCCTTGATCTTGAGCTAGAGTTTTCCAAAACATCCCTCCACCTTCGAATTATCCTAATAAAGTGATAAGCAAGTGAATATAATAAAGAAGTAATTTATAACTTCATAGAGAGGATCTTAGAGAGAGGGATAACCTCCGGCGACCGGAAGGATTATTCCGATGATAAGTTAAAGTCTCACGATCACGAAGAATCGGTAAATGCTCCTTGTGGTATTTTCTAGAAGCAAAATCACTGACGATAAACCAGGAATTAAAACGAGTGTTGCAGCCTATATGGTCTCCACTTCCGAATACAAGCAAGGCAGTATCCGTGCTTACATACTGTAATAACGGCGGCGGATCGTCGCTCGGTTAGATTTTCGAGGCATATCAGACACGATTTCTCCCGTAAAGCAGTTAAGATTACTCTCTCAGCAAATTTCTCGCCGCGTTTCATCAGAAAATACCTTCCGGCGATCGAAGAAGTCGCCGTTGAAGACGGTGATGGAGGCTCCAGATATTTGTTCGGTTAAGACGGCTCTTGGAAAAATCGGATTTTAATGAACCGAGATGGATTTCAGATGATAACCGGTTAGTTTCGGTTCGAGATTTCTTGTTTTAAAATGAAGAGCGAGCGTGAAGGATCTTTTACTTCATCGCTGCTCCGAAGAAAAAACTCCACCATTGCCACTAACCACGAACTCTCTTTGTCTCTCAAATGGAGGTTCCAAAGGATCAGATCGCGAATCTTATAGAGCATGGGCTCTACGATTCTGCTGAAATGCTTGTAACTTCTCTATCTTTTAACTCATTTTGATTCTCTCTTTTTCTAAATCCCTAGTTTTTAGCAAGAACTGATGAAATTATCTCTATATATGCAACTAAATCCAGGGCTGCTTTCTCGTTTCTTCTTCTACTGTTAGCGCCGAAACTAGTCCTCAGCTCAAGGCGGAGAATTTGGTTAAGCTTCTTTCTCCCGTCGATGTTTTCTATTTTAGTAGCTGAGTCTGTTAATTTGAAGTTAGATTCTTTCTGAGTTGTTTTCTTAGATTCTACTGGGCGATGCTTTATTTCATCAGAGAGAACACCGGAGAGCTATTGTAAGTTCTTGAAAGTTTAATTCTTTATGTTTCTCTTTTGCTGAGAAAGAACTGTTACTCAGTTCTCGAAAGTTTAGTTGTGTCTCAAATTTAGAACTTTATGGATCTTAACTACGACTGAACTATATGAAATCCAAATTATGTAACTTTATGAAGGAGCAAAGATAAAATTTTAGATTTGTATTGCTTATTCTTCTCCTCTGAAGTTCTATGGTGGAGAGGTATGAAGTCATGTCGAAATTCTGAATTTGTATTCCTTCTTTTTGTCAGCATACGTACAAGCAAGCGTTGCATCATTACACAAGGATTCCGAAGCAAAGCTCCGGTATTTCGAGGAGTTCATTATCTTTATCTACAAGATCATCTGTGAATGCCTCTAGCATTTCTGCTATTAATGAGAACGAGGTAAGTTAATGTGTTGTTTCTTCTTGATCCTTTTGGTTTCCAGAAAATGATGTGCTTTGGTTTAATTTCATGGGATTTTATGTGTGTCTTCTTTTTCTAACTTTCCTCTTAGGTGAGATTCAAGATTGCTTCATCTCACTTTGCTCTTAATGAAACAAAAGCTGCGATTGCTGAGGTATGAGTGCTATCTGCTTGTCTGGTTATCAAGATTTATTTTGTCTTCTGGATTTGTTGGTCCACAAACATTGGTATATAGAATATAAAATATGTGTA